ATCCATGAAAAGCAATTAACAACCATCTTTTCATTTGGTGCCATGGGATACATAAAATTAGTAAGGATTTCCTGGAAACTATATTATTATACTTGTTGTTTTGCTGCTTTTACTCATTGATGGGTCCCTTTCACTCCTCTGCTTAGTATCAACACTGACTAGTGGAAATACATGTCAGGCTTTTTAGAAGATCTTATCATGTATGTGTGAATAAAAATGGGGTGTGTAAGTGAGTCTGTCAGAGATAGTGGTGCTGGGTCATGCTGATTGTGAAGTGTTGAGAGGTGTGCCCCTCAGTAAAATGGTGAGATTATAAAAAATCTTTGTCAAAATGTGAATCAGCTCAGCTAAGGAACTTCATAGGGGACTGATTTTGCATAAGATCTTGTCTGCGTACAAACTTACACTAGTTTAGTTAAACTCTTGCAAACCTCTGCGTGGTCACTCTTAAACTGGTTTAGAAATGGCTTTTATCAATTTGATGTAGGCCAATTCAAAACTAATGAGTTGAATTGATAAAAGTAATTTCTAAACTGATTTGAGAGTGTCCACAAAAGAGACAATTCTTGCACTGTTAGAGAAAGGTATGAGACATATTCAATCAAAGATTTTAGGAAACTGGAGAAGTGGATTGTGGAGAACTTAACTTTAAAATACAAACAGGGTGAAATCTTGGCCCCATTGAAGTCTATGGGTCTAGGAATTTCACCCAGATTATACAGAACTCTTATTACGCTTATGCAGGAAATGACTATTGCAGGGTAGCTTTTGTTTTAAAGCTGTCCTCTAGTAATTCTAAACTGAAACATTTTTCTTGAGAAATAAGTCAGCCTTTTAGTAATTGTTAGGAGCGGTGTGGAGAGAGCATGTAGTTTAGATTACCTCACTGGGTGAATTTTTACTGTCCCCAAATAATAGGAACCTTTTATTGAAATGTTTGTAACTTTAATCTTCCTTTTACTTAAATATTTTATGATTTTTCCCAATGCACACTTCAACAGTAGATAAATATCCAGGAAAAGTAGATAAATCATTCAGTATGTTCAAACATAACAGAAGATTTATTTCCTTAAAATGAACTTATTTTAAAAGTAATATTTATTAAATGTATTTATTTTAGAAGAAAATGAATGTTATAGTTTGATCCAAAGTGTTTCATTTTTTTTTAAATGAAATTTTTAAAAACATGAATATTAGTTTATTGTAGTATTGGTAACCAATAATCAGTTATACTTTCTTGATATGTATAAAATGAAAACAAAGAAGGAAGAATAAGAGAAAAATGAATAATATATTGAGATGGAACTGAGACAGAATGAATAAGGGGACAAGGATGCCAATGGAGAATCCAGTAGCCAGTGAGATCAGGATCTAAAATTAAATCTGACTCTAAAGGAAGTTTTACGGTTGTCCACATGGACTACCCTAAAATAGTTTGCTGATAAGCCAGAAATTATATCTGACTCTTGCATTACCTGAGTGACAGGAGAGTTGGAGGATGTAAGCCATCAATTTCTTCAAAATTAAAACTTATATTTATAAAACATTTTTTCTAGCCCTTAATATTATGAAGATACATTTCCCAAATGTGAACTGATACATGATTGTCTTCCTGAGTCTGCAGACACACAGATTCAGTACAGTTGCTGCCCATAATTTTCTCTAACAGCACAGTGAAATTAACAAGGCTTTTGATCAGCTTAACTATTTGCCATTCGGAACCCTGTGGACAGCAATGAACCTGACAAGAATCTTGTTAATTTCATTGTGCTGTAACTTAAGAAAATGAAGAGCCGTAGCATAAAAAGGTACTCTTATTGCATTTAAATAGACGTTAAAGTCAAGTGTGTCAGCGTAAATGTGTTAACCATTCAGTAGCTGAGAAAAGGACATTGTTCAAGTCCCTGAGGGAACCAGGCAGCCCTTGTCAATGGATGCAATCTGCAAATATATGATCTACATATTCTAACTGGCCACAGCAGCAAAGGGGAGAGTCACAAAGGTCCCACTTAATCATTTGCAGATAGGGTGACCAGACGTCCTGATATTAGGGGCTTTGTCTTGTTTATGCAGCTATTCTCTTCCCTCCCCCCAAAAAAGTGTCCCAATTTTTCACACTTGCTATCTGGCCACCCTATTTGTAGCACATCTGATCACTCTACATCTGAAGCGACTGAACTTTTCCTACAGATGGCATGGAAAGTCAAAACCAGGTGGCTGGACTGTTGAATCTGTCACAAGATAGGTATTAGCTATGTTTGAACCTTGTTCGTGCCACCTAGTATGCTATCTGGAGGTGACATTGAGGTCCCCTTAAAGGAATTGTCCAAATGGGGTGCCTTTAGTTGTTAATTTGGTGGCTTGGTGAATTAGATGCATCTTTAAACAGGGGTAGATGAGCATGTCTTGCACCGTAAGGGACAGATTCTGCAAGGTGACTTGTTGCCTGATGTCCAAAGAGGCAGTGTTGGACAGGACCAGCATCCAAGTCAGACTGGTTGATCTCATAGTACCAATTATTATATGCATAGTTTCATTCAACTGAGTGTCCACTAGTCCTGTGTCAGAGAAGCTGGAGGGCAATACTCTGCTGCAGAATAGCACAAAGTAAGCCCAGAGCTGCTTAGTGTCTACACATTGGCTCCGCAGGTTGAACCAGCTAGTTCACTGATCAGGTTGTTGTCTTAATTTTCAGCAAGGTCTTGGAAAGGTGTTCCTTGAATGCCAAGTTGGGGTCCAATGTAACATCTAAATATACAGATTTTGGATCGTGGTCCAGCCTGTGGTCATTTAGGAAGATGTTGAGCTGTTTGTTGGCCTTGGAGTGGTTTAAATGGAAATAGCTGGAAGCTGTTTTTGTAGCACTTGGTTTAAGTCTCCATCTTTTATAATTGTGGGCCATCTCTCTCTGCATCTGCATTCAGCACTTCTAAGTGCCAGTAATCCTGGTCCTGCACTGCCAGAGAGATGATGTCTGCATAGATAAAACACCTGGCAATGGTGTAGGGAAGGTCATTTGTGAAGAGGTTCAAATGTGTTAGTGATAGAACTAAACCCTGAGGTAGACAATTTTTTTAAGGTCTCCAGGAACTGGGGGTGTTTTTTTTTTTTTTTTTTTTTTGTCCAAGTGAAACTTGGAACTGATGATCTCTCAGGAACAGTTCCACAGCCATGACAATGCACCACAGTAGGACCAATGACAGTTTTTATAGTAGGCCTATATGTTGGATCATGTCATGACCAGCAAGATCTAGAAATACTGCATGTCTTCTGCTTGGTCTGGAAGCCATTCTCAGTCTAGGGTATTGAGTGCCAGCACTTGATCACAGGTACTATGGCGTGGTCTGAAATCTGCTTGAAGGATACCATCAGTGTGGGAGGCAGTTCTTTGCAGGATAAACCTTTCAAATAATTAGTGTACACAACTTAAAGTACTGGAATTATTCATGAGGAAGGTAAGGAAACGTGTGCATCTCCTTTCTAGCTACTAAAAGATGGCATCGATCAGACATCTACTAGTTTTAGTTGATACTAAGAATAGAGCCCCCACGCCCACTCCCCAAGCTATTTCTTCAGAAATCTGCCTAATAAGAGAGAGAAGCACCCGCACCCTTCTCAGCGGATTAGGGGAGGCTGAGTTTTCATCAAGTCCTTTGAACTCTTCTGCCTCCCCCTAGGGTGACCAGATGAGAGGAAGAAAATATCGGGACACCGGGGGCGGGCGGGGTCCGCCGGCGGAGGAAAAAAAACCCCACAAACTGCCGGCAGAGCGAAATATTGGGACAAATTGCATCCCGACTGATCTCGGGACAAACACCTAAAAATCGGGACGTCTGGTCACCCTAGCCTCCCCCAGTCTTTCATATCAGCCTCTGGATAGTGGGTTTAGTCCTCTGGCTAGATTTTTTTTATGTCCTGTCTCACAGCTTTGTCATGTAAATGTGATCTGAGGGATGATTTATATATAAAATTTCATCCAGAAGCACACTCCAGTCTTTCAGTTTGTATCCAGAGCTCAGACACTTTCAAGAAAATGAAAAATCTGTGAATTCAGAAATCATTATAGATGATATTATGGAAATAATGACACAGAGTATTACACTTTACTTAGAAATTCTTATATCCAGAACTGCCATAGGAATAAATCTCAAACTGTTGTTCTAAAGTAACAAGACTTGTGACTATATATCTGGTGGAATAGAAAAGTAAATAAAAACTACTTGCCCCTAAATACACATGCCTATGGAAAGCATTCTGAATCCTTATGTTTGTATCTCAAACCCTCAAACCGATTACAAAAAAATATATAAAGCCAAAATCTGTAAAATTCACATTTCCAGGCAGAAATTATATGAGACTCTATCTTTTGTATGAGTGGTACCTTTTATGTTGCTTAAATACTCTAATTGGTTTGCTACTCCGTCCCTTCTTCCTTTGCCAAGTATGCTGTCATTAATCTTTGATTGCTAACCAACCATAGGCTTCTCTGGCTCCACATGGGTGCAAAGGTCTCCTCACACAGATCCCATTGTTGGCTCAGGACAAAATTAGCTATGAAAATAACTTCCGGTTGCTTGGTGTTAATAGTTGATTTAGCTCAGGCTAATGATATTATTCAGTTGAACAAAAGCACCCTCAGGTTATCTAACTAGTCAGATTGTTATTTCAACCAAGCTATTAATATTTGACTAGTTCAAATATTTCATTAATTTCACCTCCTCCCCACTCTGCTCATCTTAAGGTCAGGAATTTGTCTTGGACTCAAGTCTCATTCAACAGAAAATTGTGCCCCTTTCTTTTCCAGCAAACTAGTGACTATTGTGTGAAATATGAGGCCTTCTATTTGCTAGATAATCATTTGTTCTTTAATTGCTACTGATAATAGAGATTTGTATTTGAAGATTTTTTTGAATTGTGATTATAATGGTACTTGTTCAAATTTGCATTTATTTAACAGTAGTTGTGTTATGATCATCTTTTTTTTTTTTTTTTCCTCTTAGTGTCAAATCAACAGTGCCTTGACCTCCTTTCATACTGCTTTGGAACTTGCAACAGATCAGAGAGAGATCCAGCATGTCTGCCTATATGAAATTGGTAAATATAACTTCAATGACATGTACATATTCTGCTCTCAAATTTTGATTAATTGACTCCATTTTATATTCTGGCTCTTTCTAGTTAAGGTTTTTTGATTATTTGATGCCTCAAAAGTTATTAAAGTTTGAGTGTCTTAATTGCATGGATTGTTAATAATGCTCCTTCCTATGATTCCTTAGTTGCCAATTGATTTGTAACATCTGATGACTGCATGATCTTTGAACATACAACATACATACAACCTATAGTAACTCATGCTTTTCTACGTGTAGAAACCTCCATAGAATTAAGAGCTCAGTGGACAAATTAGAGCTGGTTACTTTTTACTCTGCCTTTTTTATCGAGGCTTTAGTGTCCACTCCATAAGACTGAAAGCCTGCTTCTATCCATTGCCGTGGAATCAATGATTCTATGCCAAGGATTAACAATCCTGTTGGAGCTTCAGAGCTCCCAGGGCTTGAACATACATGTCCATTGCCTTCTGTTAACATATAACTGAAGAACAAAAATTTGGAGATCTCACTTTTTTTCTTCTTCAGTGTATCTGCTATGATTAGCAAAACTAAGAGCAAACTACCCCAATGCATAGGAAAGATAAGAAGTATGGCAAAAGACCACCCTGGCTTAACCATGAGATCTTCAATGATCTGAAACTCAAAAAAGGAGTTCTACAAAAAGTGGAAACTAGGTCAAATGACAAAGGATGAATATAAACAAATAAAACAAGTATACAGGTACAGAATTTTAAAGGCTAAGGCACAAAATGAGATTAAACTAGCTAGAGACATAAAGGGTAACAAGAAAAATTCTACGAATACATTAGAAGCGAGAGGAAGACCAAGGACAGGGTAGGGCCATTACTAAATAAGGCGGGGGGGGGGGGGCAATAACCAAAAATGTGGAAATGGAAGAAGTGCTAAATGACTTTTTTGTTTCCGTTTTCACCAAAAAGGTTGTTAGTGATTAGATGTCTAACATAGTGAATGCCAGTGAAAATGAGATAGGAGCAGAAGCTAAAATAGGGAAAGAACAAGTTAAAAATTACATTGACAAATTAGATGTCTTCAAGTCACCAGGGCCTGATGAAATACATCCCAGAATACTCAAGGAGCTGACTGAGGAGATATCTGAGCCATTAGCGATTATCTTCAAAAAGTCATGGAAGATGGGAGAGATTCCAGAGGACTGGAAAAGGGCAAATATAGTGCCCATCTATAAAAAGGGAAATAGGACAACACAGGGAATTATAGACTAGTCAGCTTAACTTCAGTACCTGGAAAGATAATGGGGCAAATAATCAAGCAATCAATTTGCAAACACCTAGATGATAATACGGTGACAAGTAACAGTCAGCATGGATTTGTCAAGAACAAATCATGTCAAACCAGCCTAATAGCTTTCTTTGAGAGGGTAACAAGCCTTGTGGATGGGGGGATGTGGTAGATGTGGTATATCTTGACTTTAGTAAGGCTTTTGATACTGTCTCGCATGATCTCATAAACAAACTAAGGAAATACAACCTAGACAGAGCTACTATAAGGTGCGTGCATAACTAGTTGGAAAACCGTTCCCAGAGAGTAGTTATCAGTGGTTCACAGTCAAGCTGGAAGGGCATATCGAGTGGAGTCCCGCGGAGATCAGTTCTGGGTCCGGTTCTGTTCAGTATCTTCATCAGTGAATCAGATAATGTCATACAGAGTACATTTATAAAGTTTGTAGATGATACCAAGCTGGGAGAGGTTGCAAGTGCTTGGGAGGGTCGGATTAAAATTCAAAATGATCTGAACAAACTGGAGAAATGGTCTGAAGAAAATAGGATGAAATTCAATAAAGACAAATGCAGAGTACTCCACTTAGGAAAGAACACTCAGTCCCACACATACAAACTGGGAAATGACTGTCTAGGAAGGAGTACTGCAGAAAAGGATCTGAGAGTCATAGTGGATCACAAGCTAAATATGAGTCAACAGTGTAAAACGGTTGCAAAAAGAGCAAGCATCATTCTGGGATGTATTATCAGGAGTGTTGTAAGCAAGACACAAAAAATAATTCTTCTACTCTACTCCACACTGATTAGGCCTCAACTGGAGTATTGTGTACAATTCTGGGCACCGCATTTCTGGAAGATGTGGAGAAATTGGAGAAAGTCCAGAGAAGAGCAACACAAATGATTAAAGGTCTAGAAAATATGACCTACGAAGGAAGTTTGAAAAAAAAATGGGTTTGTTTAGTCTGGAGAAGAGAAGACTGAGGTGGGACATAAGTTTTCCAGTACATAAAAGGTTGTTACATGGAGGAGGGAGAAAAATTGTTCTCCTTAACCTCTGAGGGTAGGACAGGAAGCAATGGGCTTAAATTGCAGCAAAGGCCTTTTAGGTTAGACATTAGAAAAAAACTTCCTGTGAGGGTGGTTAAGCACTGGAATAAATTGCCTAGGGAGGTTGTGGAATCTGCATCATTGGAGATTTTTAAGAGCAGGTTAGACAAACGCCTGTCAGGAATGGTCTAGATAATATTTAGTCCTGCTGTGAGTGCAAGGGACTGGACTAGATGACCTCTCAAGGTCCCTTCCAGTCATACGATTCTTTGATTCTATGAGAACCACAGAAGATTCTATAGCCTTGGTACACCTGTAAGTACTTAGAAGTACTACTCGTTACTGAACCTTCTTACATAAACAAAGTGAGCATAGCAGTTCTCTGTTACTAGTCTGAGAACTGAATAAGATAATGCATCTTTTTGCTTGAAACTTTTGAAACCTGTTTGAATTGATACATGCAAGAGTCGATCCCTAAAAAATGTATTTGTTATCCTGTATAATACAGTGGTTATAGGTAATGAGGCAATTTCCAATAAAGTTTTAGTTATACTTCCCTTCAGATTTTTCAGAAAAGATTTTTTTTTTTAAATGTTATGGAATTCCTCAGGGTGTCTTAAAATCTTTGGACTTGCCACAACCCAAAGTGTTCACAAACATTAGTTCTTTGTTTATGTAGTTGCCTATACCATGTAAAACTCACATGATTTCTGTCATAAGTTAAAATTGTTCTAATTTTTAGGCTGGTGCAGCATGATAGAAATGAATTTCAAAGATGCATTTGAATCCTTTGAAAGGCTTAAAAATGAATCAAGATGGTCCCAGTGCTATTATGCCTACCTGACAGCAGGTTAGTTTTTTAGTGATAGAATTAGTGATGAATGTGTTAAAGTGTGTGTGTGTGTGTGTGTGTGTGTGTGTGTGTGTGTGTGTGTGTG